CAGCTCTCCATCCACACCCTGACTCCCACCACCACCCCCATCAGAACCAGAGCTCAGGGGAAGGCAGCCCCAGGGCTCCATCATCTCAGCCCCACCTTGCTACCCACGTTCACACCAGCCCTGAGCACAAGATGGAGTTTCCATTGCTCTTGGAGTTGAACGGCAAGCGGACCCAGGGGCTGAGGGAAAACAAGCTCATCACAGAACCAGTGCTGGGTCTGCAGGGCTGCACCATGAGGGGCTGAGGGGGCGGGGCGCCCGGAGGGGAGGCCGGTCCCTTAGAGGACCAGCAGATCCCCGCCAGGGTGGGAGGCTGCTCCCGGCCTCCTCTACTCCGGGCCTTTGCTGAAGTCGTCTCCCAGGCTCTGGCTTTACATGGTCAGCACGATTGTCGGAGGGTCGGAGGTCTGGCCGAGCAGGAGCACAGGGGGTGGTGACTGGACCCCAGGGCCGCCCGGCCACTCGGTGGCTCAGAGCCGAGGCGGAGCTCCAGCCTCTGCTAGCCACGGCCCCAGCCGCACACCTTCCTAGCACCATCTTGTGAAGCAGACATAAAATGCCACCCCATGCCACCCTGGAACACGGCCAGAGCCCACACCCGGCAGGGCCACTGGAGGTGGAGGAGGGGCTGTCCCGGAGCACAGCACCTTGGACTTGGACTTGGACTGGACGAGGAGGGACAGCAAAGTGGGCTCTGGCGTTGTAGCTTCCTGCAACCGTGGGGCCGGGAGATGAGAAGGAAGCCAGGGAACAACCTAAGGAAAAGTCCAAGGATCCAAGAGAATGCCGGCAGCTGAAGCCACGCTCAGGATCCAAGAGAGTGCCGGCAGTGAAGCCACGCTCAGAGTGAGTGTGGGGGCTGGGCGCCAGGGCTGTCCCTGCATCCCAGCTACTCACTCGGGAGGCTGAGATCTGAGGACTGCAGTTCAAAGCCATCCCCGGCAGACAAATCTGAGACGTTCATATCAACAACTAACCAGAAAAAACTTGGAAGAAGAGGTGTGGCTCAAGTGGTAGAACGTCAGTTTTGAGCAAGAAAGCCAAACAAGAGCCCTGAGTCCAACTCCAGGACCAGAAAAAAGGGAAGAGGA